GTCTCTGGCCAAGGACTTCACTTAATATTAATAAACTTTAAAAATGTTTTGTCAATGAATTAATCACTGTTCATTTGACAGCGGTTCTTACAGGATACAGGGATGAAGTCTAGAAGCTACTCAGAGAAGGAGGTCAGCATTCCACATCCAATCTTGAAGTTAGAATAAGCTGGGCACTAGGACCAGCTGGCTAGAGTGTCAGAGGTGTCTTAAACCAGGGAGAATTCAAAGCCTGTTGGTGTCTAGATATTTCACACATCTTCGTGTAGAGGAAGAAGGTAAATCCTTAAACTTCTATTCCCTTTTACCAGAGTCTGGTGTCAAGAATGCAGCAGGGAGGAAATGTAGGCAAGGCAAAAACTAATTTTGAGAAATAAAAGTAATTTTTGTATCCTAATTGTTTAAAAACATACTTTCAGGACTTTTGTACTGCACTGTTTCATTTGGTTAATTTGTTATAAGATTGTGACTTTGTAAGTATGTCCTAGCTAACGTTCTGTCATTCAGCTGATAGAATGCACATGGAATGCAACCTTCTTAGCCAGTCATAGCAGCCCTGTGTATGTGTTATCCAAGCAGCTACTTGCCCGGAAGAACTACATCTTCATAAGCAATTATGTTCAAACCATACGCAGTTTCCTTTTCAGGTCTTGATAAATTTGTGTACACTTTTTTTTTCTATGCTTGTGAATTTATTCTAAGCCTGAAAACTTCTATTCATTTTTTAAGATCCATCACCAAATCTTTGAAAAGTGTTAACTATTTCCTTCTCTGTATATCTCAACATACCTCTATTCTTTTAAAAAGCTCATAGTCCATTGTTTTATAATCATTTACTTATGTTCTAATTCTATCCCTTAAAGTCCACACTCCAAAATGATAAGCTTCATGCCTTCATTTTTTCTACTCACCCTAGTTCAATAAACGGTCATTGGCTGAACCAAAACACTCAGTCATATGCATTTACAGTGATACTATCAAAATAATATACCAGCTACAATGGCTCCAAATAATTAGCACTTAGCAAAACAACTTCTAAATAAATTTTTAAAGATCACAATGAGCTTGGCCCTCAAATGGTTTTTTCTACATTTAATTATGATGAATATTTGCTGTGGCTTGTGGTAAAGTAGAAAGAATAGTGTCCCTCATACCTGTAATTATGTCTGTGTAGTTTGCCACAAGACATGATTTTTCTCATCTAAAAACCTACACTGAAAATGCCATGTTTTGGTGATTTCATTAACATTTTCAAATGTTAACAATTCTGTCAGCCCAAACCGAAAATGGCTGTGTGAGAAATGAAAGCTTGCATAACTCTGACACCCAGTAGTCATGGCTCATTATCCTCCTGGCTTTCATTATGCAGTGAGGAAGCAGGGTCAGCTTCATAAAAGTTAGGAATAATTAAGAAAATTACTGTATGCAGATGTGACTTGTGGACTGAGAATAACTAACTTTCTAAAAGACTGAATTAAATAAAATAAATAAAGATGATGAAAAAGCTGTAGATGTTTTATGGCTTAAGGCAGCTTTTAACTTATTCATTATAAAGACTGCTTCTAGGGTTTTGCCCACTTCCCCTGACCCTTCCCTGAACACTTTGAAACTTTCTCTTTGACTGTATTCCTCGGGGAGTTTAAGAAGTCCTAGGCATATTTTCTGAAGTTCTTTGAGTTCATTTTTCAAATACATCTATGGGGAAAGAAATATTGTCACTGACCCTTGTACACCACGAACTGCTGCTGGGTTCCAAGACTCATATTCTTCTTTTACAACTTTCAAAGTTTGTGGAATAAAAGTTTAGAACCAGCCATGCGGGTAGAGGTTACCCACTAGCCTAACATTCTATTAAATGGAGAAAAAAGAAAGAAAGAAGAAAGAAAGAAAGAAAGAACAAAAAAGAAAAGAAGGAAAGGAATAGTAAAGGAACAAAACCAGACAGCATCTTGGTAAACCAAAATGCTATTTACCTATTTTTAATTTACCTACCAAATTCTTATTTCCTTCTATAGCAACAGATGATGGAAGTTATAAATACAATAAAAAGTTTCCTTTCCTTCTTTGCATGCTAATATGTTTCAATAAATAACTATAAGTGCCTGCTCTATGCTAAGCTTTGCACTAGGCTGAATAATAATGTCTCCGTTTAGTTGAATTTATGTTCTCTAGCTCAGAAGTCGGACACATAAACATATAATGATGACAGAGTGAGGGAAGTAGTCCCATGTGCCGTGGGATCCTTGTGGAAAAGGCATGCAATTTTAATATAAATTAAATGTTGGAGAGCCAGAAAGATCAGTTGATTTCACCATAACAAATCCCTAAGGTATGCATGACCTACATAAAAAAATATGCTTCCCTGTAACTGCTAAACATTTTAAGGATCCAAACAGAATTATTTTTCCTTTATTTTCTATTTTTTATGACACAGAGAAATGCCAAATACTTTATTATAATTTTCACTAGTTATTTTTCTATTTAGATTGTCCTTGCAAAAGTATCTGAAATTATAAATCAAAGCTTAGCTTATATGTTTGTTGTGGAAAATGTTTCCTATCTTGGGTAAAATCCTGAGCCAGTAGATAAAATCTAGGTAGCAGCTATTAAAATATACAAACACCTTAAACTTACAGAAATTGAAATGCATGCGAATAAAATGGAAAGTTCTGATGATAACCTACTTTTATCACCAGTAGATTCCTAAAAAAAATAAATTACTATTATTTTACATTGTATTAACAACACATTTTAAGGCATTTACAGTTCACACTTAGTCTTTAATTCTGCCATATATTTGGTCAATGGCATGTTGTCCTGAACACAGCAGGTGTTCAGTTCATACATGTAAAATTAAATGTAAACTTGAGGACTCCCTGCACCTTTACCAAAGTATCCATGCCTTTCAAGTAAGACATATGCCTCTGTCTGGCAGTCTTTAATGCAGTCAAAAGCCACTCTTTGAAGATGACTTCCTATAATTGGGGCCTGGTGTATGGACCAGGTTTTATTCCTAAGATAGGATTATTTCCCTAACTTGGCCACTGTCATTACAAGTGATGTTTTTCCAGAAGAAAATCTAAGCCTCATACTTTAAGATTATTCTGCTTTCTTAGGAATTATGAAAACTATTTCTGTGTGATTAGTTATTCTTTATTTTAAATACATTTTTTGATTCTAATTTCTTAGTTTGATCTCTCTCATTTATCTGTCTATCCACCCAATGTCTGTCTGTCTATCTATCTATCTATCTATCTATCTATCTATCTATCTATCTATCCACCTATTATTAATCTATCCATTATCTATCGATTGATTGATCAATCAATCTCAATGATTCTATAGATTAAAAGATCTGTTATATTCATTTTTCACAAGTAGATATAGAATGTAGGAAACTAAAGCTCAACAAAATAATTTGACTAGGGCATATAGTTAGCAAGCAGCAGACTAGATTGTCTTTTTTTTTTTTTTTTTTGAACCGGGGATTAAACTCAGGCCCTTGTGCTTGCCAGGCAAGCGCTTATTCTACTGAGCTATCTCCTTGGCCCTTCTTATTTTAAATCCTGGCAGCAGGGAAAAAAGTCTCTCTAGGTCTCTCCAGTCTTATGTGTTTAATTTTTTTCTCTCTGTGTCCTTAGAACTATTCAATCTATGGATACTGGAAAGAGTGGGCAGGGACACTTGCCTGGCAAGCACAAGTACCTGAGTTCAATCCCTGGCTCTGCAAAAAAAAAAAAAAAAGAGTGGGCAGGGAAACAAATACTTGCCGTGCATCTGCATGAGCCAAGCATGATGTTAGTTACTTTACGTATATAATTTCATGGTATATTTATCATACTGTACCCATGTAGTGATAATTATATTAATTTGCTAGGTAAAAATGATGCTTAGAGGTTTTAAAATACTCACAAAGAACACTATGGGGAGCAGGAGGCTAACCCCACTATTAAATGCAGACCTGAACATTCACACTATGCACACACTTACAAGTATATAGATCAAATTGATGGAGACCACTGCAGGACTTAAAATTAACCAACTTCTTTCCATGTCTACTTGTGAGTCTATCCGAGGCCTAGGCCTCCTGTCTGGAAATGGGCGGTGGACTCATAGTAAGTGAATGTCTGTGAGTCACTGGTCCTGGCTAAGGTCTACAGTGGCCTATGATGCCATGATACCTCAAAGGACAAGATATATATATATATTTTTTTTTCTCTCCTTTTTAATTTTTTATAACTTTTTGGACTGACTTTGCCTGCTTACATCTGGTAATCTGAACAACTAATTTGAAGATAGTAATATGCACTATAGCAGCCATGGTTGAATTCCTATTATTTGTTTAGTGAAATTCTCTATTGTTTCTAATATATGTATATCTATATTATATATATATATATATTTTGTTTGTTTGTTTGTTTTTACTATTTTTTAGTCTCTTAAAAAAATAAAAATCTGTAGCCACAGGCATCTAACTCCTGTGGTGAAGGCCTTCCTGGAGATAACGTAGTTCTCCCAAATTAACATAATGTATTACTTGGAGAAGTCCTAAGTTGACTTCCTAGATCCTTGAGTAGTCCTGCTCAGATTCCCACCTTTCTTCAGTATCCCCCTCCTTTGTTTGAAAACCAAATACTAGTGCTCAGAGAAATCCTTGGTCTCAGCCCCCAGTGAATTTTGAATTCTGCTAGAGAGTTTTGAACCTCCCACATCCCTAAAATCATGCTACTTATCTCTTTTATTTAAGACTTCACCATCCACTTGTTTGGGAGATTGTAGGCTGATCACTCAGGGATAACTAAGCGTCAACATAAACCTGATAGCAATTACAGATGATAGACCATGAGATATTAGTTTCAGGTTACCACAAACCTCCTCAGTTATACTGTTATATTTTATAGCTATTCAGAGTCAAGATTTCTGTAAAAAGAGAAATAGAAAAATTTTGCTTCCTGTCACAGACCAATAAATGTAACTGTAATGTACATTTTGCATCCTACCTTGATAAATATTGTCCTGAAGTGAGGTTTGTAGTTTTCACTTCCATGCAATTCATCGTGCTGGGAATGAGCGCAAGTTCTGGCTGAATCATGGTGGCTGTAGCTACAGCTCTTGCGACTAGCTCCATGGCATCTTGTACGTAGTACTCAAAGACAGATTGTGTTGTTTTTCCATGAGCAATTAGCCCTAAAGGCAGACCTTCGGTCCTCAGTTCTTCCACATTCTGGGAATCTCCCAGCACCCAATGAAATTCCAGGTGTGTTACCTCAAACTGGGTGGAAATTTCAAAAATCTGCCGGATGCTCTCCATGTCGCAGCCAAACATCACCACTGTGGGTGTGCTGTTCTTAACACTCTCGAGCTGGACCTGTAGAAAGCTTAAGAGGTCCTTGGTGGAGGAGAGATTAGCAGTGATGTTGATGATAGACCCGAGTTGGAACTTGGAATTATTCTGGGTAAAGAGGAGGAAGTCGGTGATGTTCCAGTCTTCCTGGCACAGCAACAAGCTAAAATTGTACCAGTTGTTCATGGTCAGGATTGAGACAGTGACATCAGCATCAGAACTTAATGAATTTTCTAAACTCAGCTGTAGGTGAAGGGGATTCTGTATTTAAAGATATGAAAAAGAAGAATTAGAAAATATTGGTAAAAGACTAAGAACTTTTACTTTCTTATAAGGTCAAACCTTCATTTTTTCCTGTGATATTCAAATACTTCTGGGATAAAATTCTCATACTTGGGGAAATATGTTTTCTGTATAATGGGACTATTGGGTAACATAACCATAAATATTGTCTTAGATTTTTATACTTTTCTTCCTTACAGACAGTTCCCTTCATACATCCTATTTCTTCGACTTCTGTTGATAGCTCATTTGTTAAACTTGTCCCTTAGGAGGAATAACTGAAGACATTGCATTTACTTTATATAAAAATTAATACAAAAATCTTAACACAGTACAGTTTCTTATGTAAGGAAGTACAGAAGATTTATGGACTGTAGTTTTCTAAATTGCTAGCACCTCAAACAAGGTGCTTGAAATATACATGGAATAATTAGCAGTAGGTACAGCAAGGTTAAGTGTATATTCCAGTGTTGAAGGTGTCATTATACTGCTGTATCCACTAACATGGGATTCTTTTGTGAAATGTATGCCATCAAGCACTTTTATATAACTTCCATTACAATGTCATCTAGATATAGAACTCACCAATTTAATAAAGAAAAGTATCTTATTTGAAGACTCAAAAATTATTAATCATATAGGTGAAATGTAACCTTCTAGTATTAATAGATGTGTTGAGTATTCTTTTTAAAAACACATATTGTTTAGAACAATGGTATCTACATTTTTACTCTCAAATATTCCTTGCTTTGAACTACATATGTTCCAATGGGAAATTATTTATCTATTTGAGAATTTGTCAAACATTTACATCCATAATATACACTGTATGTCAAAGTATGAAGAGGGTTTTCTCAGTTAAATTTCAGGCCTTATATAAAAGAAGTGAGGGCTCTCCCTACCCATCAAAAATATGTAATAAGAAATTGGACTTAGGCAGAACTTTGAACTTCATGAAGCATTGAAAGATTTTTCAGTTTTACAGAACAAAGAATGAGGATTCCAAGGGTGTTTCAGGAGGAAAACTATGACCGAAGGAAAGAAATGAGAGGAATCATGGTGGCCGATAGGAAAGAATTTTAAAATTTGTTCTGAGAATCTGACTTTTATTCTTCTAATTTAAACTCTTGAACAAACTTGTTATTTTATTTTTGTAATTAGGGCAGGGTGTACAGGGTGTTCAGGGTCTCACTGCACAGATTGGACTTGTAGTGATCCTCCTGTTTACTCCCAAGTGTTGGGATTACAGGTGCGCATCACCAAGCGCAGGCTCATTCGCCAGCGCAGCGTGCTTCGGGGGTGGGGCCGGCACCGCAGGACCCGGGCTTGAACTCCAGGCCCCTGCGTCTGTCTAACTAGGCGCTTTCATCCGCTGAGCTATTTGGCCAGCCCACAACACTTGTTATAATAAAAGCAGAGTTTGGGGAGGCTTCTCTGGCGGCAGTGTTCAGTAGAAAGAAGACAAGTTCTGTAAGATCCTGATGAATTGGTTTAGCAGGAAGCTCATGTTGACAATGGAGGGGAGAACAAAAACTGCTTTCAAAATTAAAAGAGATTTAATAGTGAGATGGGCTGTGAAGAAAAAGAGAGAAAGAGAGTAAAAATCAGGAGTGGCAGCTGCTGGTCTCTGGGGCTTGAGATGCCAGACAACATCTCAAAGGGGAGGACTGGAAGCTTCACTTACTCGCTCCTATTTTTAATGCATATGGATTTCTCCAGAGAGCTCTTCCCATCCACCCCTCTCTGCTTTCCTTCTGTCTTCCTTTTTATTTCCTCCTCTATCTTAATCCTCTTTCAGCAGAAGAGAAAAAGGAAAAGGGAAGGAAGGTAAAGGAAAGCTCTACATTTCTCTGTCAAGAACAAACTATTCCCGAATGTTTTCCTGGCTTCCAATTCCTATTTTGTTGCGAATTTTCTTTCTAAAATAAAAACATGATCCTATCATTTTACAGCACCATTACCTCTGAGTTACCCATAGAACAAAGTGCAAAATGAGTAGTGTGGCTCACAAGGCCGTCACTAGCTCATCTTTAGCTTTATTTCCACCAATCCAAACATACTGTGGAGAGTAGACTATGCTAACCCTCATAGAAGACTCTCAGGCATGAGGATTATTTTGAAAAGTTACAGGTAGAGAAAGAAGTACTGAAAACAAAGCAGAAGTTATGCTTCTGTAGGGAAAATTTACAGTTATAGTGAAAATTTTTATTTGTGAACTTCTTTGCTGTGTCAGAAAGAGAATAAAGATAAAAGCACTAGAGAGTCTTAATGAAGGAGGCACTAGTATTCATCTGCATCACACATTTTGTTGCTATTTATTGTGCTTTTGATGGTTACCTCCTGGTCTCCTCAGCAGAACCTTTGATTCTTTGCTTCACTTTGAAGATGTTAAAAGGAGGCTCAAAATTACCTCTATTTTTCTCCTTTATCTCTTTTTCCACTTTTACCCAAGCATTTCCCATTTCCACATGAGTTTAACAGATTGTCAAATAGTTGTAGTTGTGTTTTTTTTCTTTTATGTATGTGTGTGTTAATTTGGCTGCTATTAAAGAGGGTGTCTCGAAAGAAGAACTATGTAAGATAGAAATAAAATAA